TTTTCGGGCTGAGGCTCAGCCGCTGAGCTGACCTCGGATAATCTGTGCCTCACTGCCTCGCGATGCCAATCTAGCGTTAGCTCGGCTGAAAGCTCTCGTGTGCGCTTAATGTTTAACTGCTAATAGTTCCTACGGCTGTGTTTATAAACAACTATATTAAAGTGTGTATAAGTGGCGCGTTAATAATTTTAAACTAATTTACACTCCATAATATCGCGTATATATGATTTATTACATACCTGTCAAGTCTTCTCGTTTTTGAGTGGATTATTGCCGGGATCTACTTTCTGCTGGGATCTACTTTCTCCAAAATCAGCAAGCTTGCATATAATTGGCCTCTCTGAAAACACTCTCATCCTGCTCTCTTCGTTTGTCATATGGCAATAGTGTTAGTTACTAACCAATACATTTTTAGCTTTCAAGTCACGATGAGCGACCCCCTTTTCGTGTAGGTATGCCAACCCTGCCGAAATGTCATGGGCAATTTGCACGGGCAAATTATCTTTAAAGCACTCGAAACCGTCACTTTTGTCCATAAAGTTTAGAAATGCAGTCAGACTGGTTACCTGTTTTGACAACTCGAAAGGAGAAAAGTCAAAGCACACGAACTCCATCATAATTGCCTGTGGATTGTGGCAAAATGCTTTAAATTTCACTGTTTTCATGGTCCACGGCGTTCATCAATTTTGCCTCTTTGAGAAAGCATTCTTTGTCGTCTTCGGACTCGCTACCGAGAAGTTTTTTTACAACAACAATTTCATCGCGAAATTTTGCTTTCAACACTGTCCCAAAAGCCCCATGTCCAACAACTTCTAAAGTTTCAACTTGAGCGTATTTAAACGATGGCAAATTATAGTTTTTTTGACTTGTTTTTGTCTTTAAAGTTGGAAGCTTAAAAGCCATGTTTGATGTTTAATAAACAGAAGCCTGAAGCTGTTGGTTCTCAAGTTACGGCATGTCTTTGTTCTTAGACTTTGTTACATTTTGTAACACCTTAGCGTTGTAACGGATATTGGATAATGGATTAACTGTAGATATAGACTAACACTAATAGAATAAGAAAAAGCAAGTTGCCTTGAATGCACCATTGTAAGTGCTTCCGAGATTAATATATAAATATAGCAGTTAATAATAGAAAATAGCATTATAGATAATTAAAGGAAGCTAACATGCCCTATAGAACGAGAGTATAAATAGCAAATGTAAAATATGAATAAGAGAGTTGGATCTAGACCTGTTGTGTGTGTGTGTGTGTGTCTTATGCTTTTATGCATATGGTCAAACTAAAGCGAAAACTGGACATAGGGGTTTGAAACGTTCACGATTGCAAAATAAGTCAACGAGAATTCAAGGCATTTTGCCGCTTGCATTTTAAATACCTTTCAATTTTGAACTTCATGGACGAAAGCGACAGATTCGAGTGAAATCGCTTTCCCGAAGGAACATGATTATTATGATGACTTTGTGCCAAGTCAAAAAGGACCGGGAATTAAAATGATTATATTTCGTGCCCACCGGCACCGTGCAAGATCGAAATCAATTAAATCTGTAATCTGCGGTTATTCTTCTAACTTTAGTTATTTTTCGATTAATATTCTTTTATGTTTATTTATATTTTCTTTTATTTATATTCTTTTATGGTGACAGTCGAAAAGTAATTTAGCTTGTAGATGCACCACAAGATGCAGGTACAGGTACACCACTGGTGTACCTACAAGCTAAATTACTTATTTTTCGATTGTTTGATAATTTACCCGCATTTTCTACCATTATCCGCAAGAATTTACCTGCATTTTCTACCATTATCCGCATGAATTTACCCGCATTTTCTACCATTATCCGCACGAATTTACCCGCATTTTCTACCATTATCCGCACGAATTTACCCGCATTTTCTATCATTATCCGCAAGAATTTATCCGCATTTTCTACCATTATCCGCAAGAATCTATCCGCATCCACCTATCCGCACCCGCATTTTCTACCATAACCAAAAGAAGTGGAAGAAGAAATTGACAAGTTAAATTCTTCTAAATCCACTGGCCCTATTAGCATACCAGTGAAAGCACTGAAGCTTCTAAAAAAATAATCTCAAAGCCTTTGGAGTCTATTTTTAACTCTTCCTTACTAACGGGTGTTATTCCTGATAGCTTTAAGATTGCAACGGTTATTCCAATACATAAAAAAGGGTCACAAATCATCCTCAATAACTATCGGCCTATTTCCCTTTTATCTATGTTTAATGAGCTCCTTGAGAAACTTGTGTTCAAACGTTTGTCCAGTTTTATTGAAAAACACAATATACTGTATCAGAAACAGTTTGGATTCCATTCAAATCACTCCACGCTACATGCAATTCTATCAATTTCTGATAAAATACAAGCAGCAATTGAGGAGGGTAAATATTCCTGTGGAATATTCTTAGACTTATCCAAAGCTTTTGATACAGTCAATCACACTATTCTATTGCAGAAACTTGAGTGCTACGGTATTAGAGGGGTTGCAAATAAATGGTTTAAATCATATCTAGAAAATAGAAAACAATTCGTTTCTATAGGCAGTGTTTATATTTATATTAGATGCTAGATATTTCTTGTGGTGTACCCCAGGGTTTGGTGCTCGGACCCCTTCTCTTCCTATTATATATGATTTCCAGAATTGCACTACCAGTTTTGAATTCCACCTCTTCGCTGATGATTCAAATATTTTCTATGCTAACAAGAGTTTGTCAGTAGTGGAATCAACTGTAAATGGTTAACTTAAATATGTAAACGAATGGCTCTTTGCTAATAAATTATCCCTCAATATTGAAAAAACAAGTTTTGTTATTTTTCACCCACCACAAAAAAAAAATAGGCCATGACATTCGGGCCTTTATAAATTATAAATTAGTAAAACAAGATTTTGCTTTTAAATATTTGGGTATTGTGATTGACTGCTATCTGAACTGGAAGGCGCATGTTTCCGCCATTCAGGTCCATTGCATAACAGCGAACAACTTTGATTTCGCCTTTGCACATCGTTGGTGTAAATATCCAAGCGGAATTAGTACCCTCGCACGGTGCTCCACACCGGCTCGGGGATAATACTAATTTCGGACAGAAATTTGATAAAAACCCGAATTTAATAATCCAAAATGAAATAAAAATTTCAATATAGCGGGTAATTTTGTAAATTTCAAATATTAAGTTATTAGCAATTATTTCGTTTTCCAAAGGTACACCCTGGAAAAAAAGATGTCCGTAAAATCTGACCGTAGCATTTGCTACAAAGTTGATCCAGGCAGTAACAACTCTGCTTACACTGGACGATGCCACGCCAAAAAAGTGTGATAAATGCTGTATTGAAAAAGCTCTGCGTAGCCTACAGAACACCATAAAATATTCTTCAATTGGTTTAAGCTTCTTGGGTCTTTTTTTTTCTAACATCACATCCCTCCTCTGGTTTCTGCTCGTTATTGTCATTGGCAGCAGAATAAAATTCATAAGATGGTTTTTCCCTCAAATTATGCCCAACAAATTATGTAAAACATTTCAATTCGGTTTCCTGTTTCATTTAGAAATTCGAAAGGTTCTTTCGAAAATTGCAAAAGAGAAAAACTGTGAAGCCTTAGAAGAATGGATTAAACCCTGTGAGAACCATCTGCAGTGGAATGCGACAACAACATTTGATGGTATGGTGATATGGGCCAAATTTAAGTCATTTTTACGCCACATTACCAACTAACATACAGGTCACGATGATCCACTTTTCAATAAGTGTGCTCATGGCAATGACATTCCAGCAAAAAAGTGGTTTAAATCTGGTATGTATTAAATACCATATTTATAATTACTATCCTAAAATTGGATTATACTCTGGCACTTATTTGCTTTATTTCTTATCCTTCAGATTCCACACTCCATGAGAAAGTCTCTGCTGCATTAACTAATACAAGACTGGTAAAAGAAATTAAGCAGGCCTCTCCATTAGACCAGACAAGTTGCCTAGAAGGGTTTCATAGTGTTTTGAATCAGTTTTTTCCAAGATTTTAATTTCAACCCGCAGAGTTATAAAAACAAGAAAAAGTGACAAGAGTGAAAGGTTGAAATTCACTTACCCTAAATTTATAAATATGAAGCAACAGTTGGGATTGTTAAAGTTGCACCAGATTTCTGTAAGTTTACCTTACCATATTATAAACTTTACTTAATGTACTGCTGTTCTACGTACAGTACAGAAGATAAAATTTTACTTTTTATCTTACAGCATATATCCAGGAGATTTATGAAACATTTTGGATTTATGCTGAAGCTCAAAGACATGTGTCCAAAGCCAATGGACACAATGCTTGAAAAGCAAACAAAGGCAGAGGCTCTAAAAAAACGGTCAGAAAGAAGTAAAATTGTAATCAAAGACATCCCACCCAGTACTCCAGGTACATATGTTTATTCGTTCAAAATATGACTTCTCAGTTACTTACTATTTAGATATATTACTGTTTCTAAAAGCTGGTAAATTCTTACAGTATCACAGGTTTTGGCACAGAAGAAACAGAAGGAAGCAGCTACGAAGAAAGAAGTTGTAAAGCGCTGCAGAATGTGCAAACAGCCAATGAAAGGGCACAAAAATGTAAATGACTGCCCTAAAAACCAATAACCATGTGAACACTTCAAATAACATGTAATGTCGAAGCAATGTAAATTTAATATTCTAATCAAAAGCACAGTTAAACCCTAAAGCCCAGATCAAAACATGATGCAAGTCATGGCACGTTTTGACTTTTGAGACATGGAAAAGAGGGAATAAGTGTTCATAACACATGAATTAAGTATATGAATTCAAATATTTGTGTGTTAGCCACTTTCCACATAATAAACCCTATGTTAGTTTCCTTCACTAACTTTCATCTCGGTTGATCCAGGCTTGATACAAATAGAAATATTCTATGTGATTATCTTTTTACAAAAAGGGAGCTGTCAATGTCTGTTATTTACATACAAACTTTCAATACAATTATTTTATTCTGAGTCAGATTCTTCTGCATATCCAGTATAGTTTTCCTTCTCATTAACTGGAAACACTTTTCTTATAGCCATGTATGCACAAGATGGTAGGGGTATCTGCTTATTGCCAATTAGTCCATGCACCAACCTTGTAAACTCTCTATAGGATACACTGCAAATAAATCTGAAAACAGGAAAAGAGCATAAAATTATGCGTACAGAAACTGTTAAAATGTCAATGTGAGAACCTTGTTGTGTGGCAAAAATTCACCTTTTCCACATACTATGTTATGCATACAGTATATTTTAATACACATTATTTCATGTAGCTACTTTGGTGGTAATTTGCATCACTGTTGCCATTAGGCAGTGGATGACAGCATTGAACCTACCTATTCTCTGTTCCTTCTTGACAATATCTTGCTCTAGATTTTGTCTTGTACCTGTCAGCAGCTAACTTTAAACTCCACTTTTGTAAGCAGACCTGACTAAACCCTGGGTGCTGCATGATGCATTTCACATCTAGAATCCCTTCGGCTTTAAGTTCTTCCAAAACTTCCTTACATTTTAATGCTTCCTCGCAACCTTCAAGCTCAGAACAACAAAAGCATTCATAGCTATTGCTAAGAAGGTTTATTCCGCAATTACCACACTTGTACCTAAGAATAACCCAAAACAAGGTACAGTTGTGGTCAAAAGTTTACATACACTGCATATTGACCGACATAATAGCTATTTGTTTGCAAGGAACGATAGAAAAATATATCAGTTTATGGAAATAATGAAAACAAATACTTAATTTGTTTATATTAAACGTTAGAAACAAATTTACCAAATTTTCCACCAAAAAACAGAAGAATGAGCAGAAAATGACTAGTTCAAAAATTTGCATACAATTCACGTGCATCATGACGGTGATGCTGTATAAAACTCTGGCAAAGTAAAAATACTTTTTACATAATCCCTTAATATAAAGCCTATAAACAATAGATGCCTATCGTGTGATATTATAGGAAAATTACTGGGATTTCCCAGTGCATAGCTTATAAATACAAATGAAGCATGGTCATTTGCAACTCATTTGCAATTGGACCAAGATGGGAAAGGCTAAAGAACACAGCCTAGAACTTAGGCAATGTATAATCGACTTCCACAAAACGGGATCGTCTTTGGGAGAAATATCGAGATGATTAAAGATTCCTAGGCCATCTGTTGCCACAATAGTACGCAAAAACAAAACTGTTGGGATGATTCACACCTTACCACGATCGGGAGGAAAACCATTGTTATCTGCTACTGCTGAGTGAAAATTGGTTAGGATGATTCGGAGCAATTCAAAACTAACAAAAAAGCATGTTCGTCGCGAAATGCAAGATGCAGGAATGCAGGTGTCCTTGTCTACAGTCAAAAGAGTTTTGCATCGTCATGGACTCAGGGGCTGCCGTCCAAGAAAGAAACCTCTACTGAGAAAAAGGCATCTTCAAGCTCGACTGAAGTATGCTTGTGAGAATATGGATAAAGGAGATGATTTCTGGAATAATGTGCTGTGGTCTGACGAAGTGAAAATAGAGCTTTTTGGCCATAATGACCAGAAGTACATTTGGAGGAAAGTTGGAGAAGCATTCAATCCTAAAAACACCATACCGACTGTGAAGCATGGCGGGCCGGTTGGAGCATTACGCTGTGGGGCTGCTTTGCTTCTAGTGGAACAGGGGAGCTCACCAAAGTAGATGGAATCATGAAGAAGATTACTTGAAAATTCTTAACAACAAACTCCAAACATCAGTCAGAAAATTGCATCTTGGTCGGAGATGGACCTTCCAACATGACAATGAACCGAAACATACATCTAAAATAGTCTCGCAATGGCTCACCCAAAAGAAGATTAGGGTTTTGAAATGGCCTTTCCAAAGTCCAGATCTTAACCCTATTGAAAATTTGTGGACCGAGTTGAAACGACTAGTTCGTGCCAGACACCCGACAAATCTCCAAAACCTTCATGAATTCTGCCAGGAAGAGTGGTCAAATATCACACAAGGATTCTGTCAAAAGCTTGTGAATGGTTATCAGAAACGTTTGATTGCGGTACAGAAGGCAAAAGGCCACGCAACTAAGTATTACTCATGACCATGCCAATTGTGTGTAAACTTTTGAACTAGTCACTTCACAAACTTGTCCTTGAATTTGTTAAAATAATGAATAAATTGTGTTGAAATCGTTGTGTAAATAAACTTGTTGCTTGTTTTGATTATGAATACACAGTAGTTCAGTTTTGCTACACATTTTATCCACATATTGCAAAATACATCAAACAAAACGCAGTGTATGTAAACTTTTGACCACAACTGTATGTGAACATGTGTATGATACATATACTGAAGTTTATAATAGCAAAATATTTGCTATTAATACACTAATACTAAGAATCCCTTACCACTCGCTTATTTCTGTCACACTATTTAGTCTTCTCGAGAGATTCTCTTCTATCTGTAACCGTTCTTGCTCTTCTCGGTTGTAGTTTTCCAGCTAGGCTTTGTCAGCTAAAGGTTCTTCAGCATAAGCACCAGCATACAAATCCTCCAAATCGTCATGATGAATATTGCCATCGTTATTTATTCCAGCATCTTCAATAACATACCCCGGAATAAAATTTATATCCTAGATCCAGACTCCCAATTTCCACATCCTTGAGCCATAGAAAGCTTAATTCATGACGCCATAAAAACTAGACATTTTATCTAAATTCACTTTAAGTGTCACGACCCAACGTTCTGACACTCCGGTCTAGTGTCTTCATCAGGGGTGATCTGATGTTAAAACTTAGTTCCTTATATACTCTCAAATGATGTCATCTATGAATCAGATGTAAATATTCTTTTGGCAAATAGCTTCCATCATCCCTATTTAGGGCACAAAGACTCGCATTAATATGCCAGGCTTCCAAACAACGCCTTTTGTCTATAACAATCATTAGGGGTAATGACTTTTGAATCATTCCACACAATGTTATGGTTAGTTTGACATACGTGTTCTGTGAATGCTGATTTTGAACTGTCTAAGTTCAAAACAGCCTTTTTATGTTCTTTTAAACATGTGCCAAACTGGCGTTTTGTTTCAACTAGACATTCTTTCTCGCAATCACCACATGGTATAGAGTATACAGCATGAATGTTCTGTTTTTGAGGAATCACCCTCTGAGTAATTGCATTTAGTCGCGACAGGGGATTTTAGACAATCATTAAAAAGTTTCGTAGATAATTGTTCTCTCTCAGTACACTGAGGACATAATCACGCTCGTTGTCACTAGAAACTTGATTGCATCTTAACGATTCGGCTCTTTGATCTTGAAAGATTATAAGTGGAAGAGTTGACAAAAGACATGATAGGTCTCAAAGGTATCCCCGACTTATGAATCTTCGGGAAGCCGTAGAATCACAGAGACAACCGATCGCTACTTTGCAACAATTTATAAGTGACCCCGCTAATTTTGTTAGCTTTCTTTAAGAATAATAGGCGTTTGTTCAATTCTCTTTCAGTCTTACCAATTGGGTCAGACTTAAGGACACTATAGGTGTTTTTCTCATTGAGAAATGCACTCGCTTTCTCACGATATTTTTTTCTGTCCATTACAACAACACAATTGCCTTTATCTGCTAAGAGCACAACCCTATCCAGATCTTTCTTCAAAGAAAGCAGAGCTTTGAATACGTACTACGTCTGAGGATGCTACTGACTTCAGCTCTTATTTTCAGCTGAGTTGTTAAGGTGAAAAATTCCTTCTTCAACCAAAGTGACTATTTCAGCTGTTTGAATTTGTCTGGGTGTAATAGCAAACTTAAGACCATGCTCTAGTCAGTTAACAAAAATAAGATTGATAATTTGTTGAAACATTTGAATTCTATTGAGCCATCAATTCAATTCACAGTAAGGTGGGAGAGTGAGGAAAAGTTGGCTTTTTAGTATACTTATGTTCATAGAAATATCGAAGGGCAGTTAAAAACTGATGTTTACCGTAAACCTACAAATATAATGATCACTTGCCGGTGTTTGCAATTAATAGGACCCAGACAGTGGCATGTAAAAATCAGACCAACTATTATAAGCCTGATTATAATGACTTGAACTTTACCAAATTTCAAACAAAATTATCACAGGTTGATTGGAATAGTGCGTTAGTAGGGCAGGATCCGGGTGAATTATATAATTCTTTTGCTGCAGAATATCACCGACATTTTGAAGAATGCTTTCCCCTTAAAATAATTAGGTGCAATTCTCTTGGCAAACCTAAGTCACCTTGGATCACTAAAGGTTTACTAGCTTCTGTTAGGAAAAAGAATAAGCTGTATAAAAAGTATCTTGCAAACCCAACTCCAGCGCGCCTTTCTCATTATAAGAGATACAAAAATAATTCCGAATTCCAAAATAATTCCTATTTTCAAGACTGGCGAAGCAGATATATTTACCAATTATAGGCCAATTTCTATCCTATCGAGTTTCTCAAAAATTTATGAAAGAGTTCTCTATAACCGTTTGGTAGAATTTATTGATAAGTTTGAAATTTTTAATCCATATCAATTTGGTTTCCGCTCTAATCATTCTACCAATTTTGCTCTTATTCATTTGGTAAATAAAATTGCAACTGCTATTGACAGGAAAGAAATAACTGCTGGTGTTTTTTTAGATTTGTCCAAAGCTTTTGATACTCTTAATTATGATATTTTATTCTCTAAACTCGAATGGTATGGCATTCGTGGAGTAGCGTTAAATTGGATTAAGAGCTATTTTAAAAATCGTAAACAATTTGTTCAGTTTAATAATGTTTCTTCCACTCAAAAGTTTTTACAGTATGGTGTTCCTCAAAGATCAATATTGGGTCCATTGTTTTTTATCCTATATGTAAATTATCTCCTAAATGCCTTACAACTGGCGAAGCCTTTATTATTTGCAGATGATACTAGTATCTGTTATTCTCACTCGGATCCTGCAGTTTTGGTCACAGTATCAAATAATGCGATATTAAACATCGACATATGGATGAAGGCTAATAAATTGTCCATTAACTTTAACAAAACCAATTATGTTATTTTCCAATCTAAACAAAGGAAACGTACGCAAGATTTGTCTCTCTCAATTGATGGCAAATTAATCACCAGAAAACAACAGATCAAATTCCTAGGTGTTCTGCTGAATGATAATCTTTCATGGAAACCTCATATTAACTATGTTTCTAATAAAATTTCGAAGTCTATAGGTGTAATTTTTCGAGCTCGTTTTAATTTGTCGCCTAGTACTAAACTATCATTGTATTATACTTTAATTTACCCGTATCTTAATTACTGCAATATTGTCTGGTCGTCAACACACGTAACTAACCTACAACGCATTTTCATCCTCCAGACACAAATTGTGAGATTACTCTCACTTTCACCATCTTTTGCTCATACAGCTCCGCTCTTTAGTAAACTAAACTTGCTTGATATTTATAAGTTAAACACACTGGAAGATTTATGTTCTGTTATCATAATAACTTACTTCCACCCTGTTTTTTCAATCTATTTAATGCAAACAAACAAGTCCATAATTATAACATTAGAAATGCCAACTTGTACCAACCTCATGCATGTAGAACTAATATAAAACAATTCACAATACTTTTTCGCGGTCCAAAACTGTGGAATTCCCTCCCTGACTCTGTTAGAAAAGCAGAGACATTAAGTTCCTTCAGGAATAGAATGATGAAACATTTGAGTCACGAACTTACTGTTACGTTTAAAAGTTAAGTTACTGCTGTTTGATTAGATATTCTTTGATGCACTGTAGTTTTTTGGGAGTTAGGTGGCTCCGGGGTGCTATTGTTGTAATCTTTACGGTTGCTGAGTGGAGCTTTTGGAGTCTGGTCGGCTCCTCGAAGTTTGCAGTGTATTAATATATTTTTTACATATTTTCTCATACGATAATACATTTTCATTTATTTAATCTAAAGTTTCAAGGAGACATCCGATTTATAAGCCTTAGGGTTTCTGGATGGCTCCTTGCCACTGATTTATCAATCTCATAATTATTTCCTATGTACATACTTATCTTATATTCTTGAAATTTGGTGGCAAATAAATTTATGTTAAATAGGAACAAATATCTATTCTTCTACTCACACATATAAAAAGTCATAAAAAGTCTGTTGCAAAAACTTTGTTTCAAAGAGCTGAATCGTTAACATACAATCATCGCGTTGCTAGGACCAACGAGCGTGATTATGTCCTCAGTGTACTGAGAGAGAACAATTATCCACAAAACTTAAAATGATTGTCTAAAATCTCCAGTTGCGACTAGATGCAATTCCTCAGAGGGCAATTTTTTGAAGGGCTATGAAATGACGTTTTTTGCAATAGAAAAAATCGCACTAGGCAGAATTTTTTACAAACTTTACTATCGATAAAACATCTATAGTGTAAAATTGTGATGAAAAAAATTGGGGTCACCGAACTCATTTGCGATATAAACTCGATTCAATAGTTTTTAGCAGCCATTTTGAAACGTCTCTGTTATTATAGCAACGACTGCCAGGCACAAGTTCTGAATAGATTTCGACTCTAGGTATGTTGCCTGAGAGTTGTATAAAATTTTAGTCTTCTAGTCAAACGTTTAGATGCTGAATATCCCTGTTGAAAATGTACATTTAAAAATTTCAAGAAGATAATGCAACATAAAAATGTTGTATTAACCATAGTTAATAGAGGGGAGGGTTTGGAAGCTGAGACCACGTGACAAATTATGTTATTGTTCTATGTCACGTGACAACACGGGTGCATAGCTGCACGGATTAGTAATCGAAGAAGTGCAGCAGTAAAAGCTTTGTCCGGTTAAAAATATGCGTATTTTTCGCAAGATCTCGTAGATGCCAGGGGCTAATTACTCAATTTACGGTTGCGGAACGAGCAGGAAGCAGAAGAATATAAGTATTTTTAGAATCCCAACAAAAGACAATGATTTATCAACGAGAACTCGCGAAGCGTGGGTGCGGGTTGTGACAAGGAATCGAGAGATTGACGCAAGTTTACGACAACAAATCGACCAAAAAACCATCCATATTTGTGAAAAACACTTCGAAAATCACCTGATTGAGACGTGTAAGTAACATACATTGTGAATATAGAGTATGAAGTAGTTATATTTCGAGCCAAACGCTTGAATTTTATTTTACGAGAACAATGCCCCATTGCTTCAATGCTTGTCGTCAATAGCTGTGAATAATTATGATTTTGATAGCTTGCTTGCATATCCTGTTTGCATACGGTGCGAAAGCAGCGCTAATACATTATTCATTGAGTCAAAGATGGCCAGATCAGCCCGTCTTGGCTCTACATGGCTAACTGAAATCTAGATGATGATACACAGATCGAAGTTATCGAATGTTTACAAGTCAAACTGGAGCAAAAGATTACACATAAGATATAAATTTATATAATTACTCATTGTCGTGGGGGTTGTTTTAGTAAAACATATTTCTTTAAATTCGGATTGTTTTAGTCCTTAGTATACCGTGTGTTTTCTCTAAGATCAAATCAATTTTGGGTGAACAACTTATATTTAGAATTTTATTTCTTGTTTTGATATAGTTCCCACCTGTAAAAGGCTTATTCCTGGATCAATACCTACTCTTAACCTTCCTGAAAGGAGCATTCCATCAACATCTACAAGTGCACCAAGACGTGAACTTGTTCGACATGAACTAAAGGTAAAACCAGTGTATACAAGTGTTGATGATTTCAGGAAGAAATCAGAAAAATTAAAATTAACTAGCTGGAGCAAAAGTGTGAATGAGAATAATGTAACTCTTGTGTTATGGGATCAGACATATGCTCTTCCTAAACTGTCAGTGACAGTTGAAGATTCACTGAATTTAACTGTTGCGGCTTATAACTGGCTACTCCCTGATGAGCACACATTTTATTTAACCCACAAGAGATCTGTGAGATATGCTACAATTTCTAGCATATTGTCATCATTAGAGCAATTTCAGTTGTGTTGTGGACTTCCTGTTGAGGAGCCATTTATTTCTGCTGCAACTGATCCATCCAGTGATAACTGTGTTGAGAATATTATTCGGCACACCGTCCCTATCAAGCAAGAAGAGTATGGTCCAAATGGGAATCCATTTCAAGCAAAAGTCTTTTTACGGTCACATGACTGCCAGCTGCTCTGTGATACTGATAAATGTGACAATTGTGGCGCCACAGAAAAGTCAATGCAGAAGTCATCAAAAGCCAAAGCAGTCAAGGAAGCCCGGCCAGTCCCAGCCAAAGCACCACTTTCAGCTACCAGTAAAGAAAGGTTGGTTGCAACTATCCAGGAGCAACGTGTTCTGACAAAACAAATGGAAGAAAAGATTGCTGCACTTGAAGCTGAAATTGAAAAGAACAGTATTCCTGTTAATGAAGCACTTGAGAAAGATATTTTGGCAATATTTGCAGATAATCCTAGCATTGAGGTAACACCTCATATGAGAGTTTTTTGGGAGCAGCAGAGGAAACTTGTAGCATCTCCTAAGTTTGGAAGAAGGTACCATCCACAAATCATCAGATTTTGTCTCTCATTACATGCAAAATCACCGGCAGCATATAAGGAGTTACAAGAGTCCGGAATTTTAGTGTTGCCAAGCCAAAGAACATTGCGAGACTATAGGAATTTCTTCAAGCCAAAGCCAGGGTTCAACTCAAAGAACATTGACAGATTGAAAGATCTTTCGAGAGAATACTTTGACATCCAAAGATATGTTGTACTGAGTTTTGATGAAATGAAAATTCAGTCAAAACTGGTTTTTGATAAACGGTCTAATGAACTGATCGGGTTTGTTGACCTCGGTGAAGAGCAAGTGAATGATGCATTTTGCTCTACTGATGAGCTAGCCACACATGCGTTGGTGTTTTTGGTGCGAGGTGTAGCAACTGACTTGAAGTTTACCCTAGCTTACTTTCTTACAAAGGATGTGACTTCTTACCAACTAATGTCACTCTTTTGGAAGGCTGTATGCGTGTTAGAGTTAGGATGTAATCTTTGGGTCTGTGCTGCTGTTAGCGATGGGGCGTCACCTAACCGCCGATGCTACGAGCTACATGAGGAAATCTCTGGTGAAGATGAAGAACTAGTTCATGCAACCATTAACCTCTTTTGCCCAAGCAGAAAAATCTATTTTTTTTCTGATGCACCACACTTAGTAAAGACAACTAGAAATTGTCTTTTAATTCTGGAAGTGGAAAGCGAACCCGCAACCTATGGAACAATGGCAAGTACTTGCTCTGGGAGCATATTGCAAAACTGTACTTTTTTGATTTAGAGCATGGCCTTCATCAGTTGCCAAAACTGACTATGGATCATATTGATCTAAAGTCATTTTCAAAGATGAAGGTCAGCTTAGCAACTCAGGTGATGAGCAAAACTGTGTCATTGGCATTAAAGCGATACTTCCATGAAGGGGATGCAGATGAAACAGCAAAGTTGTGTGAGATGGTGAATGACTTTTTCGATTGTCTTAATGTTCGTTCCTTTCATGAACATGAAAGGAAACGAAATATGTTGCTGGCACCATACCGAAGCAGTACAGATGTTCGGTTTGACTGGCTTGAGAATGTCTTCCTCAAGTACTTGAGCGATTGGTTTTCCTCCACTCAGACTCGTGCTGGCACATATACACCAGAGCAAAGGGCTCAAATGTTTCTGTCAACACAGACATATAAAGGACTGCAAATCACCATCAAGTCTGTTGTTCAGGTAACCAAATTCCTACTGGGTGAAGGATGTGAGAGTGTTCTGACGGAAAGGTTTTGCCAAGATGATATCGAAGAATATTTTGGCTACCAACGAGCCCAGGGAAGACGAGCAGACAACCCTACGGCTGCTGACTTTGGCTACAATGATTTAAGAATTTCAGTTCTTAGAGACATTGCCCCAACTGCCGAAGGTAATGTTGCTGGTCGCCACATTGGTCTAAGAACTAAATGGCACACTGTCTCCGAAGAGCCATTGCCGAAACGTTCAAAAAAGAAATAACATTGCTATTAGGCAAAACAGTAACATAACTGCTAGGAGATAAAAACTTTTTTCAAGTTAGTTCGGATTTGGATTTCATGGTGTAATAATAAAGTCAATATATACCAAACTACATGTGTATATTAAACTTGATATTTCTAAAGCCTTCTGCACACGAGGGAAACTTGCTGAGCCAACGGCCACACATTGGGCTATCAACTCATCAAGTTTCTCTCGTGTGCGGACAATTTTTGCAAGTATTTCACCATGTGTGGCATTGAAGAAAATATCTAGCATCTTTGATATGCGAGAAAAGGTTGCATGAGGCACAAAACTCAGTAAAATCCTGCCACACACTATGAGCAATCAGCTGAGCTAACAGGTACTAGTAACTTTTAGCTCAGCTGATTGCTCTTGTATGCAGCAGGCTTAAGGCATACAGTATGTATTATAGTGTATACACATTAGACACAGATATACATATTTGCTGTGTCTGAAACATAATTAAATACAAGTTAAGTAGAAAGCAAGTCATTTGAATGTGTCCATGAAAGCCAGCCCAATGATTTAGTACTACAAATGCTTTATAATATATTTTTATCTGTCCCTAAACTCAGAAAACAATACAATTATGAATAGTGATTTTTGCTTAGCAGGACTACATGATTGGAGATCGCTAGATAGTATACTCCAAAATAAGGTTTCCGCGCGGAGGTCTGGAAATGAGTTTGTCAAAATTGTCAATATCTTCGGAAATTAACGAAAGCAGCAGCAAAAAGGGCGATCGTGATATATTATGTGTGATTTTTATATACGAGCGAAGACTACGTGGTTCAAGTTCCCTTTAAACTGGAACTGGGTTTTTTATACGTCTCCCGCTTAGTATTTCAGGCAAGAAAGTGTTTAGTTGTTAGTATATGTTACAACTACAGTCTACTGTGATTGTTTTGTTTAAACGAAATTTTTACAACAATGACAATGTGCATAATACAGTCTATATAAATGTAGATATGTATAAACAGCTATTGAAATAGGGTGTAGAAATTGGTGTAGAAAGAAAAACTCAACACTAAATATTCATGATATTCGCTTTTATTCAATATGAAAAGATCGTAAATATCAAAAGATATATTTTATATATATATATACATTGCTCCAAACATTGTTGTAGGTGTTGACGCATCTCACTTTGTTTAAAGGTGATTGCTCCAGGATATATCCCTTTAGCAAGAGCTAGTGCATTTGCTATTGCAAACAAACCACAGTCAACAAAACCTGCTTGCTTTTGACAGCACCTTAGTTTCACTTGCAGAAGACCACCTTTTGCCAGACTCTTGTACATATATACCAACTGCTGACTTAAAGGGCGTGTCATTCCAGGATAAAGGGAATCGTAGACAATCACTGACTGGCCACTTGATTGTGATACAAGCCAATGTCCAGGAAGGTTATGGATCTGAATTGCATTCAACATTGATGTTATTGGATCCTCCCTGGTGAGTTTGCTTGATACTATCAAGGTATCTATTAAGCCATCTACTTTGGTGAATTGGTTTTTCAATAGAATCTGGACTGCATTGATGTGATTATCATTTAGAAGGTTGCCTGAAGTCAGTTCATGTTTATCAGCCTGATACAAATTCAAACTAGGCAAACATACCCAGAGCTTTCTTTCTAGATGAAAACAGGACTTCTTACTGGGTGAGCTGAGATCAACTACATCTGGCTTTGTAGAGCATCTCTTCTTTGGTCTATCTGAGGCAAGTGGCACATGCACTTTGAAATTTTTCTTCATTACTTCAGCATGCTTCCCAACTCGGCCTGTGTAGGGGTGTTTTGGGCGACCATATTTTCTGGTTGTTAATGTTTTTATCTTTCCCTTTTTCTTTTGACCATTTTTTGTGATGTGTTTTCTCCCTCTTGTGGTTACTGGATTTTTCTTAACTTGGGTTTTTTTTATGATAATTCCTGCTTCCTGGGGTGCTGTACTTCGTGCCTTCTCTAAAATCCCCTCCAACTCACTGGCAAGACTGGAAAGTTGTTGTTTGTCATCCATTAGAAATGTAAGGTTTGAAAGTTCCTTCATCAAATTGCGGCACTTGAGACGAAGAGCATTTTTGCCACTTGTTCTTTTAGGTGGAAGTGATTTATAATCTTTATTGACCAGTTCAGGGGGTGAAGGTGGTATGAAATCATCATTGTCTCTTTTTTCTGTTGGAGGTTGATCATTGGTTACATTTCCTTGCTGTTTAACAATGTGTTTATTTTCAGGATAACTGTTATCTGGTGGAACAATTTTCTGATCTAATGAAAACAGTGGATTTCCTATGTATTTGGCACTCAGGTTTTCCCATCTCCATTCTGGAAAAGCTTTCATGCAAGCACAAAAGTGTTTGCAAAGAAGCTTGTTGTGTCTCCAGTCCAAGCATGTGCAGTTTGGGAGAGTTTCTTCATCACCAAAGAATAATCTGTATATGTTCCCTCCTGTTGAACTCTTTACATCAAAGACCCCAGGAGACACCATTTGGACCATGTCATTTGTGATGTCACTTTCCCAGCGCTTTATTATATGAGATACCATTTTTGCTGGTCTATTGTGCAAAAATTTGGGAAGATCCTTATGGTATGCACGATAACCATCATGGCATTTCACATTTAACTCAACATACCTATATGGTAAAAAATACAACAATTCTTTACATACTTCACATTTGTGAAATTTAAACAATATTCCTGAGAAATTCCATTAGTGCTGCAATTTTACAAGTAGGCAACTCTTACTTTCTGAACGTTTTTGGAAGAAACTGATCCACAAGGACTTTTAGCATGTCTGTTAAAGAGCATCCTTTGTTCCCAAGCAGATATTCATATTTAAATGCCTTATTTTGTCTCTCAATCCCATTGTTTGTGTTGACTGCACAAATAAAATCTTCAGCCCGGTATGCTTGGCACCATCTCTGAAAATCAAAATTTATGGTTTTTAGTATTTCTCATGTTTGCTGGTTTGACAAGCACTATTAAATAGTTCAGTCATTAGTCATTGATTGACTGGACTTTCTAAGCTTTCCTATAATATGTTGGCTTTGTACCTTTATGTTTGGCAGCCACTTGTTACCAAACCAATTCCTTAGTTTCGGATTACTTTTCCAAAGTCTGCTCTCAGTAAGGCATGTGGTTGATTTTCGACACTCTTCAGATGTGGCTGCATGTGCGATGCTCCGTAATAGATTTAGCAGATGTTGTTTGTCATGAGCAACACCATTGTCTAATTTAGATGTCCATTCTTGCCATGACTTCTCCCGATGAAAATCACAAAGAAGTACTTCTGCATCTGAATAATATAAATGACATTGAGGTGCATCAGGTATATCTACAAGCAGATGTAAGGTATCTGTTCAATTCCGAAATTGGTTTTGAACAGCTGTTTATCTGTTTTTCCTTACCTTCAAAGACTGTTTCGAGAGCTTGAATTTCTTCCTCAGCAAAATCTACCATAAAACGCGAAGGGGTCCATGTGTTAATATTCCACTCCTTGAAAACCATTAATGCTTCCTTTATACATTGTGTGTTCTCGTACTGTATGACAAATGAGCCGACAACTTCATAACAAACATTCGTTCTTACACACAGGAAGTACAATGGAAGGTCATATTTTGTTGTTCTGTAGGTTGCATCCAGCAGACACATTTGGTTACCATACTTTGCGAGGAGATGTCGTTGATCACTGGTCTGATGACAGAACAGTAATGTTTGGGTGGAGTATTCGTCGGAGGTGACGCAGTCATCTTCATCCTGAACACAATCATCTGGTACTGGCTTAGCACAATGGGGACGATAGAGAAATGAGTCTTCTGGATGCTCATTCTTCCATTTTTCGACCAGTCTCTTCAAATTTTCTTGGTCAATTGTGGAGAAATTGTCTGGTTTTCCTTTGTACAAATGATTATAAATGTCCTTGTTAGTAGGATAATATCGCCTACTAGTTTTGTCTGGCGGTTTACATCCCTTGAAGAGGTCACATTGCACGAAAAGCTCGAGGTACCTGCGTGCCTCACTTACTGAGTGGACACCTTCTTGGGCTAGCTCTGAAAGTTTTTCCACTATAACCGGGTCCAGTGGCTCTCTTATTCCAGCAGCCTGTAATATAAAAAATAACCATTACATTAATAATTTTAACAATCGCGCGTGTTTTATAAGTAAATTACAGTACTTTTAAATTCTAATATGTGCCAATCCTGTCGCAATGTTATGTAGGTTTATATATTTTCGGTTTTTGTGGCAATAAAATTTTACCTTTCCCATTATGTGATATTTATGTTCAGATACAGGTGGTAACTTCACGATATAATTCATTTGAACGTCGGCAGCTGCGATTGTGCTTGCCGTCAACCCTTCGTGCAATATCTTTGCTGCTCTTCGTCTGAAGAATAAGCTGTCTTTTTCAATCTAAAGCGTACATTTAAAGAGTGCATTATGGCATCCAGTGGTTATAAGTGATTATAATTATTTTATCTTTTACGGCCTAAGTAATAGTATAAATTCGGACCTTCATATTTGGAAATTTTGCAATTTGAGTGATGAATATTGCAGCTGGGCATTGCTTCTTTTTTGACGTTTGAGCAAAGGTTCTTTTTTTAGAACTATAACAGTGGTCAGCATTCTGTAAGTGTGTAAAAATAAATTTTCTCAAAGGTGGTAACACAGTTTACCTACACAACGTTAATTATAAATTAGCTTATATATCCATTCAGTTTTGAAATGTTACCTGGCACTCCTGAGCTTTCTCCTTATTTTTTTGTTTAGCCTTTTCATTCTTATCAAATGCTTGGTCCTTGCTGATTCCCATCCTTTCTCTCCCAGTAGACCTTACGTTTATCTTTTCTTAGTTCTAAACATATCAACTACACGTTCCTGCCCGGGAAATATATTTTTACCACACCTTTACTTCATTTTCATACGTATGTTTACCCCCTCGTAATAACGTTTTGGCTACAAGTTTACCCCCAGGGTCACACAGAGAATTTTAGGGGTCCCAATTCCATAGCAAAAACGCCAAAAAAATAGCAGTTAAAAAAATACCAAAAAAGCTTTTATTTGTGGGTATTTCGTACCAAACGCTTAAATGGTGCTCTCGGCGTTTTATTTTTGGTGTATATTTTCACTCTGAAGGGGCATCACCCCTTGTATTTTTACCTGACCTGCCAAAAACACCAAACTTATCATGATAACTTTTGGAAAGGGACTTTAAGAGAGCTATATACTCCTGTGGTATTCTGCCCCCCCCTTAAGCAGCCTTTGTATACACCTCCACCTCCTTCCTTTATCCGGCCTGTTTCACGATAGAACAGCTTTTTAAAATGCGTATAATCTACGTACTTTTAAAGCTTAGCTTACCGTTTGATCCAAAGCTTTTGTCGCTGTAATAGACGATGAATTTGCTGCTCGTCTCCACCTCGTATTTTTTAATGAGCGCCTTTACATCGGACTCGCTATGTACAACAGCCGTGTTTTGAACGCTAGTGTCCTCCGAATATTCAAAGGACGACATGCTTTTCGCGCAAATATATTTACATATCAAGGAACGATATTTGCTATGAATATTTATACTCGTGGTAAGTTCCCGCAAAATTTAAAAATCGCGCGACAAAAAAAAGGATCATCCAGAAGTATATTGTCCTTCGTAAGTTGTTCGCCGTCATTTCACGAAGATTTTGACAAACTCATTTCCAGACCTCCGCGCGGAAACCTTATTTTAAAGTATACTATCTAGCGATCTCCCTACATGATTGGGGGCTGATTCTGCAGCTGATATGTATTCTCATTTCTCAACATCTTATATAAACGGCTAGTTCATGTTTTCTGAGGCAACATTAACAATAACAGGCAAATGATATACTGTATGTACAATTATTTACTTTCAACTTTTAACTGTTTCCATAATGCCTTGCTCTTCTGTGCTTTTTCAAGTAATTTGTACTTGTTCACGATATCTCTTGCAAAAGAGAAAGCTCTCACAGTTGCATAAAGTTTAACAATGTTTTCAAAACACAAAGACTGACATTCTTTTGAAACTGCAATATCACAATTGTCAACAATATTGCTCCACAGAGATTTTGCCAGTGGAGAAGTAATGACATCTTCTATAATCCTATCCACAGGTAATGATGTGGGTTTACCAATTTTTGTTTGCCTCCTAAAAGACAGTTCAGCAATTTCTGCTATTTTTATGAGCCAGGAATTTGGTGCCCAAAGAGCTCCCCTTGATAGTGAAAAAATGTATTGACTTTCTTCAGTTGGAACTTTAATTGAAAGTAACAACACCTGGATTTCCTGGTTTCTTTCAGAATCTGCCTCTTTGGATTTGTTGCTTTTTCGATATAATGACTGAATTACATATCCAGCAACATAGGAAAGGGGTCCAAGTTCCTCTGGTGTGATAGATTCATTCTGTAAAATTGGAAATGCAATGTATCAGTGCATGTACTGAAACTCAACAAGTTACAAATAGAGATTTTAAGGTCAGCCCACAGCTGTTTCTCATGTGTCCCAGGATGTCCAAGTGTTCCAATGCTGAATGAAACTTAATTAATGGTTGGTTACTAAAATGCTAAAATCTATTAACTAAGACATAGGAAGTACAGCTTTACCCACCTCTATTTCTTGAGAACCATCATCCTTCAGTGTAGTTAACAAACGTTCAGGCAGGTTTACTAGCATGAGAAAGACAACTTTGTGATCATTGCACGGATGAAAATACTCCTTCCACGAGCCATACATGTTCCCAAAAACGCTTTCATAAACTTGTCACGATATTTTTTACGGTGAAACTTGTGCAACAAAGCATTCACACATTTTATAAACGACTCACTGGGTTTCAACGTAAATACATCAGCTACTTGTTTCGCTGGATAAATCTTTTCATCAGTCAAGTATTTTCCAATCTCGCGAATCAACGTTAAGGCAGACTCCTCTGAAACGTATGTAGGTATTTGCTTCGACTCATGCTTTGCCTTGGAAGACGTTGTTTCGGATTCGCTAGTCAAATGCTTGCTCCGGGTATGTCTTGCAAGTCCACCTTTTGATTTGCACACTTTAGAGCAATGCGCACATGAATATTGCTTCAAACCTTCAAGCTAAAACAGAAGTAGGAGATAAAGAGAACCTTAAACGTGTCTCATAAGCTTGTATTGAGTGTATATAAAGACACAAATCACATACCTCTGCCACAGAATGCGATATTTCGTCAGATACCTCTTCTGCGTCGATTTGCAGCAACTCAATGGTCTGCTGAAAATCGTCCTCTTTCGCTCCAGACGCCAGAATACTGGGAAATTGACTTTCTACATCGTCGGCCGAACTTGTCGAAGCCATAACAAGACGCACAATGCCTTGTTTTCAGCTGATTCAACATTTTAAAAGCAAGATATCGCATTACCGTAATATAAAACCATATAGACGCGGTCGCCATGATGCACCCGTATTGTCACGTGACGTACATTTCAATTGACAGTTATTCTACATAACTACATTGTTATTTACATATCCACATTGTTATCTACATCTTTACATAGTTGTTATCTTCATCTAACTGTTGGTGCCAAGCTCAAATCTTGTACACACATACCAGGCGCCAACCTGGCGACCATATGGATGGCAAAGATGTTTCCGGATGTAGCATGTGAAGTCCTTGTGTTGTTGAATTTCAATCTCTACGTTATCATCTGGAATGTTGACCTCATAACACTGGAGATGACTTTCAAAGGTGACAGTGATCAGTGGCAGCACAAGAAACTGGATTGCTGCAAGGTTTTTGGCAACAACTAAGATCTTCTGGATTTTCCAAAATTTTGGCAAATCGTCATCATCATAACCGATATGTATGATGGCATTTATTTTGTACTTGGTACCATGAATAACAATCAATTTTGCCCTTGGTAAATGGTCCCTCAATGGGAAGGCTTTTTCTTTTAGCAATGATATTACAGTGCTAAAATATGAACAAAAGCCATTTGATATATTCGTTGGATCTGATCTGCAGTATCAATTGAGTTCATGTTAAACATAGGAGGAAGCCGCTTAGTGGGTTTATTTGGATATAGTTTCTTAATTGTGCTCCAGAAACTACTGGGATCATTTGATATTTGTCTTAACAAATCCTTGTAGCATGTTTGCTTTGATTTATTTACTATGAAATTTACTTCATTTCGTTTTTTCTTATATGCAAGTATGTCAGATGCGTTCTTTGTTTTCCTGGATCTACGAAATAACATCACAAGCATTCATTGCCTTTTTGGTTCCATCTGTTGTAGATGTAGAGTCATGTAGATGTAGAGATTTAATAAATTCTTCCTGGAAGGGTTTTTCAGAAATTATTTACATTTAACATGCATGCAGTAGAGGTTTCATAAATAAGCTTTACAAAAGTATCTTAAAAATTATCTTAACTATGTTCATAATTTAGTTAGTTGTACTAAATGTTTTCTTAAGCAAATGTTTTTTCAGTGCTGCTTTAAATGTTTTAAGGGAAAAGCTATCTTTCAGGTTCTTTTCTAAATTGTTCCAGATGTGTACAGCTCTATATGTAAATGTCCATTGGCCAGCTGCAGTTTTGAATAGTGGTATTTGAAGAGAGTCACGTGTATGAGTATTGCGGTTGTGGATTGATGACTTTTTATCAATTTGTTACAAAGGTAGTCGGGGCAAGGTTGTTTAAACATTTGTACGTCAAAATAGCGTCTCTAAAATATAGTAATTTGTCCACTGGGAGCCAATTTAATTCACATAGAAGTGGAGTTATGTGGTCGTATTTCCTGGATTTTGTGATGATCTTACCTGCAAAATTCTGGATCGATTGGACTAGAATTTTGCATGTAAAATTCTAGGTTAGGGCAAGGTTTTCCTCGGACGCGCTTCCATATGATAGGTTCCAATTTATCATAACACGATAAGATAATGTTTTTGATGTAAGACCAAGAATAATTAACATCAGAAGATTCATAAACAGGTGTCCAGTCATGCGTAAGTAATTAGTTACACATCATTTCTTTGTTGTAGCCTTTGGTGTTACGACAGTTTATCACTTGCACTGCATATTTTGAGTGATGGAGTTTCCTCACACAGCCTATCAGATCATAATCAGTAAAGGAAATTGCAATAACTTTAGTAGCAGCAATAACTGACGGGTTGTTGGTACTAATGATGTCAATTAGTGTTGCAGTATTCAAAGCGGTTTGCGTGGCTTCCTTTATTGTCTTAATCCTCTTAATCTCAGGGTGATCGTTTCTTTTGAGGTCATTGACATTCAAGTCTCCCATGATAAAAACATCTTTTGAACCACTTGAAGCTCAGGCTAGTGAGTTTGCAAACAGATAGAAAGCTGATTGGCTGTCGTTTAAAAAGAGCCAATCAGCTTTCTATTTTCAATTCAAAAATATGACAAAGGTATAGGCAAGGTGTCCCCAGCATAGGTTTTGAAATATATTTGCCAGAAACCCAAAAAACATTCATGTTTTATACATGCATAGGAATACATTTGAATGCTAAAAATATTGTATAAGTGTAGTAAAATTATTCAAGTTTAATGTGTTTTACTTTTTTTTTCTTATTCGCCATATTTTTATGAAATATTTGCGGTTTTCTGAAGGTGTTCAAGTTAACCGTCGTGCGTTTTTAGCTTATTGGGCGTGGAAGTTGCCTACCTTGTCATAATATAAGACTGTTCGGACAACATGAGCGTCGTGTGAGGTCAGCGAGATCAGTTCTGGGCCACCTGTGAATAATCCATGGATATGTGGAGAACCTCTTTGCTGGAGTTCAACA